CTTATTTAGGAACTTAACTGGCTCGGCAGAAGTCTTGGACTTAATGGACACGCACACACGGTGGCCATTGTAGTCCACAAGACTGCAAGTTTGCATGAAGTGTGTGATTTGGGACAGGGCCTCTGTTGTAAGTGTGTGCACTGTGTAATCAAAAGTAAGTTCTACACACACTTGTGTTCTTCATGCCCACTTGAACACTTGGGCAAAAATACAGGAAATACGTAATGTAAATAGACAAGTGAAGTGCATAGACCACAAACCGTGGGTATTGGTAAAAAAAAAAAAAGTATCTGAAATCTCCCCTTATTCAACCATTCTCTATTAATGACATTAGTCCACTGATATGGTCCACCTGAGTGAAATCAGACACTGAATGTACCGTAAGGGCTGCCGCTTTTGTGTAGTTTGTGCTCGCAAGTAGCAACAGTCTAGCTTGAAACCTGTCATAGGAACTACCTTGTCTAAACCATAATTAAGCAATTTATTAACCGATTAAAAAGAATAGTACATCTCTATGATTGCTGCTGTGGACGCCATCTTCTGCCAAGAATCCATTCGGGATGACCCTTGATAATTTCAGATACATACATATGGTATGGGGAGATTTCGGTCACAATTCAATGCACTGTCAATGCTTCAATGTATCATGTGTGATCAACGCTGACTATGATGCTTTCTTTAATTGTTGAACTGCAGAGATTGGTATCTCATCATATAATAAGAAAATCACTGAAATTAATATAAATCATAATATAATCATAATATGTGAAAGTGTTGTCGAAATATTGCTAATATTTATTTTTGGGATATATTCATGAAGTACTATGTTTTGGTTATGTTGGGTCTTTTACTTTGAATGTTCTTGCTTTCCGGTGTTTTGTTCCTGATTGGTTCCATCCAGTTCCTTGGCTCTGCCTCCCTCACTGTCCCCACTGTTATTTTAGGTATGGGGTTGGATTAAGGGATCTAAATCATGCAGAATAAGGCTTTAATATGTGCTTTCTAAGTACTAATAAACAGCCGATATGCTAGTAATATGCATGATAGTTAATAGTGAGAATTGGTCCTTAATATAAAGTGTTACAAAAATTGTATTTGTTTATAAGGCACTATTGGATTCAGTATTAGTATGTTTTGAGTGAGTAGCTACTGGTGCATACAATAACTAATTAACATAAAATAGATACTTGTGAATTTTAAGAAATAAATATTAAGATATCATTTTTTATTAGAACAAAGGATACAAAAATATACAAATTTATAGACAAAAATGTCAGAGACTACATAACCACTCTATATTCATTAAATATTCCAAGTCTTTGTCTATTACAAATCTTTGGTCTCCCATAGAAAATGAATGATATTTTGCTTGGACCCTAAACGTTTTTTCTTGTGTATGTATTTCCCCAAAATAATAATAATAATAAAAGTAAAAAAAAAAAAAAAGTATTTTATTATACACACATCTAAATTACAATTCTTCCATATTGACCCCCAAAAATCTGTCAGGGCCGGAGTGGGACTCATTTTCAGCCCTGGAGTTTCATGCCTTAGACCGGCCCACTTTTTTTTTTTTGTACTGGCATTTTCAGTGCCAGTACCTTTTGCGCTTTCTATTATGCATTTTCTTTGATCTATAATTTTTTTGCTCGCATACGTTTTTATTTATTTTTTTGAGCAAGGTGCCGCTGTCAGGTGAGTAAGATAATTACGTCATCTTTAGGGTTGCCAATTAACTTCAGATATGGAAAAAAAGGGACAATTGTGATTCTTTATATTTTATTTTTTAATAAAATAGTGTTTGTTCTTGTATTCTTGTAGAAAATAAGTGTTTATTCTTGTAGAAAATAAGGGACAGAATAAGGGACGCTCCAAATATTTGTACTGTACCATAATGTAGGCTGTCTGCATGCAGGTAAAAAGTTCTCAGAAATAATCACAATTGTTTTGCTTAATTTGTGTAAAATTATTCTAAAAATAATTTGAATGTCATACAAAAAATGTCATTGGCCTGAGTAAATTGTACCAATATAGAATTGTGACTTGAAATACGGTGAAAATACTGTGAAATTACAAATGGCATTTGAAATTTGAAAGCTAACAACTGATGAAACGTCAGTCAATAAAGCCTTTTTAACAATGGCACTTAAAGATTTTAACTAAAATATCATTACAACCATATAGCCTTTGAATTAATGAAAATGCATATTTTTCAATTAAAGAAAACTTAGAGAGTGTGGGCTGCTTCTGGTGCTTGGATTTGTAGGCCCTACTTCAATAATGAGGTCCACGTTTAAGAATACGCTAGAAGTTTTTTTTTTATGTTTTTTTTTTCTCTCTCTATTTAACAGCATTAACTTACAATGAAAGACGTCTTCCCTCAGGTAGATTGAATGTTTTCCTGCCTTGCTGGATGTTTGGCTCATGATCAATAAGTTGTTTGCATTGGCCCAAACCGATTTGGCAAAATCAAAACACGGACGGTGAAGGGAACTGCCGTCAGCGCGAGACCCGTTGTGAAGCGGGAGCAGCTGGCAGAGGATTCCGCTTGGTCTGAAAGCCTTCCTCAAATGGCTTCTTCACAAATAAAACAATGATTTGCGCAAAAAGAATGACTAATTATCAATTGAGAATTTGTTATTGATATGGTCTAGTGAAAACAATAATATGGGCTGTGAGAAAATATTAAATAAAAGAGTGGGGCTGCTATGAGTGCAGGCAGTCTAGGGACAGCATCCATATTTCAACCCAGTGGCATGACAACCCTCGCGGCCAAAAATACAGACCGGCCCACCGGGAATCCTCCTGGTGCTCCCAATTAGCCAATCCGGGCCTGATTACTGTATGTATGTAACAGGGCTGGTGAGATGAGAGGCGTGCGGATCCATGTGCAAACTTTTATTAATAAACATAGTCAAAAACACAGGCAGGGTCGAACAACAGCAAACAGGAATGGCACAGGCAAGACAGAAGAGCAATCCTAAATGGGCTTGAGTCAGACGACAGCAAACGTAATCCAGAGGGCTTGACAAGAGGGGTAATCCGTAAACGTGAGCATAAATCCAGGCGAGGAGCAAACACAGTCCGAAACAGCAAGCAAAGGGTTAATCCAAGATACGTGGCAAGAATCAGGAACCAGGAAAACAGGCAAGGCAAGAATATGACTAGACTATGAAAACTAGAGCAGGCTCCATAAAGTAGCTATCAGCTATCACAGTGATAAACGCTAAACAATACTAGAGACTAAACAGAAACACGGAATGGCTCGGTATAGCAGATAACACTAGGAGAGTGATAAATGCAGAACAATACTCGGCGACTTGAGCAGGATCTGAACTAAAGACGACCACGACAGAGCAGACTGAGCAGCAGACCACCACGGCGGAGCAGAAGACCATCAGAGCCAGACAGCAGACCACCACGACGGAGCAGACGGAACAGGCAGAGCGGAAGACCACCACGACGGAGCAGACGGTACAGAAGACCACCATGGTGGAGCAGACGGAGCAGGCGGAGCAGAAACCCCTGGTAGAGACTGGGACCTAGGGAAAACTGAGACACAAGAAACAGAGAGAGCATATACGGTCTCAAGGACCGAGGCACAGACTCATTGACTGGAGCCGGACAGGCAGACAGTTCAAAATTTGACTCATTGACTGGAACTGGACAGGAAAACAGTTCCTGTCCAGGGAGGGCTCCAGTCCCCAGTTATGGCCCAGGAGTTATGGCCCAGGAGTGCCGTTCCCAGTTCCAGGGGATCCAGTTCCCCAGTTTCCATCCCCAAGTATTTTTTGGGGTGGGACAGTAGGGCTCCAGCCGTAGAGGCCGGGGCGGGGGCTGGGGCCTCGGAGGCTGCTTTGCCATGGCCTCCTGAGTCCCCTGATCCGCCATGGCGCCCAGAACTGCCAGATCCACCATGTCGCCCAGAGCTGCCAGATCCGCCATGGATCCCGGAATGGGCGCCGCCCTGGAGGGCGGGACGCGCATTCCGGGAGGGGGAAGTTATGTCAGGCTCTGGTCCGTGTTTTGCTCCTCATGTGCCTCCCTTGCCCTTATTTGGTCCTTCCTGTTCCTGTCCTCATTGTGTGTATTCGTCTCCAGCTGTGTTTTGATTAATTAGTTCATTTGCTCCCAGGTGTGTCCCATTGGTGTCTGTGTATTTAAAGTGTTCTCAGTTCCTAGTTCTCTGTCTGCTGTTAAGTGTCATTTTGTTTACCTGATGTCTCCCGTCCTGTGATCCCCAGCGTGCCTTCATTAAAACCCTTCTGATTTACTTTATTCCTCGTCTCCTCGCTCGTTCCTGTGCTCCCAGTGTGTGAGTCGTGACACATAGCATTTTATAATATATTTTAAAAAATGTTTAATGTAAACACAGCTTTTTTTATTATGCAATTATGTACAAAATTAGTACCGTATTCATCTGACAACAATTATGAGAAAGAAAAAAAAAAAGAAAAAGGGTATACAGAAAAGAAAAAAAAAACATGTGCATGCACATAAGTAAAGAAAAAAATATATATGCCAGGGGTAAAAATCTGAAACATTTAATTAACCAAATTAAAGTGACATAGTGCTTCATAAGTCTTTTTTTTATAGCTTTTTTGTTTCTAATATTATGCAAAGTAGTACCATATTGTTTAATTTCTTTTATAAAATGTTTACAATTTGGCTTAGCTTTAGCCCATTTCTTTACATGAATATGATATTTTTTAAGTAAAATAATTAGTTGTGTAAGAAAAGAAAGTGTACTTTTAGAATCAATGGTATCTTGTACAAAAACAATCATACATTTCAATTTGTATTAATGTTCCAAACATCCTTGAAATGAAGTTAGATACATCAAGCCAAAATAATCTCGAGCGTTCACACTGAAATAAGAGATTAAATGTAAACACAGTTTGCCATAATTCAGTGAATGACGTCACATAGCGTTGTTCGTGTGAAGCGCATCAATAAAGTTCAGCGATTCAAAGTGTCATTTTACTTCCTGTTTTCATTTTTTCATGTGACATCTGAGAAAATTCATCTCGACAGTAGGAAAAAAATAAAAGCTTCAGTGCTGCCACGTCAGGATTACAGCTCTAGATAACCACCTGGCCGAAATCACCACATAACCGGTACAGAAGAGATCAGCCCGGCGTGAACTTTCTTCAGACATGGAGAGCAAATATAACTTGAAGAGTCCAGGTATGTCATCACATCTTTTCTACATCATCAACATTAAATCAGTCACACCTTTAATTTCATGAGGTTTGTGCTCTATATGAGGCTATACACACATTCAACTCTTTAAATGTCATGATTAGCCTCAGTCAGAGCTCATTCTTGTAAGTTATCACTGTGAGCACACTGTGCTGGAAAGCGTCTAACTGTTTGCTATTGTTAGCCCTGAATCTGTGATCGAACAAAGTGCCATGCCATGTAAACACTATGGTACGTGAATATGATAATCGTCAAATACCATGGTATATGTTGATGGTACCATCACTGTGCCATGGTGCTGCCACTACAATAGTGTTTTGGGAAGAAACCAGCAAACGCTGATTCAGTAATTGTACAGAAATGTTCATTTGTGCTGTACTTCATTGATTGTTTTGCCAGTCAAATACTGTTTGTAATAAATTGAGGATTTTAACAGTGTCAACCCAAAACTGTACAAAAATTTGTAAACAATAAATAACCTTGAATAAGTAAACAAACAAAAAATCCTGGAACTCAAACTTTTAAATATAATAACATTATCATAAACTCCGTATGCCCAACAATATGCTAATATTTTAAGTGACATGATATGATGTGCTACCCACATTTGTATTTTCTTATTTATTTTTTTGTGCTACGCATTTTCTAATTTCAGAGATTAATCCGTAGGACACTGCATTATGTGTTTACTATTTTGTTTCTGTTTTATTTAGACTAGTGCCTTTTGCTAGGCTATATTTATTGTTTATTGTTATTATTTTAATTGTTTTTTGTTTTAGTTTAGAGTTGTCTTGCAATAATTTTAGTTTGAGTAATTTGCTATAGGCTTTGTTTTGCTAATTATTTGGGCTTTTGCATGGTTTGGATCGCTTGGATCTCTAGTGGTTGCTAGGTGGTGACTTACTATCCCAAGTCAAAAAAGTCCACCCTTTTTGTTTTTAGAGAAGTGATAGTACGTATGATTTGAGAAATCATGTGTGCTGTGCAATCAGGATGGGTTATGCACAAAATTGAATGCATATATTTTAGTTTGAAATACTGTAATGCTTGTCTTCGCAAACACCACTAATGAATTACTCAGTTTTGTCTTCACATAATTTCGAGAGAGTCTAATATACGAACCAATCTAGTACAGCTCTACTGTAATACATAGACACTAGAGTCACTAGCACCAGGCCTTGTTTTCTGGTCCATTCAGAGACCAGTCAGTATATTGAATATTTGTTGCAGATATTGACATAAGAGCACAGTTCAAGGACAGATCAGTGTGGCAGGATCAGCAGCAGTCTTTTGTCTGTTTTTAATGTTTCTTAGCTGTGAAGAGGCTGATGAAAGAGGCAGCAGAGCTCCGGGACCCGACAGAACATTATCACGCTCAGCCACTGGAGGTGAGACACTGCCAATGCTTAGTTTTATTATTATAATTTAATATTAGTATTGTTATTATTGTCTTATTAACGATACTAATGATTTTTTTTTGTAAAGCATGATGAGTATGAACTAGTTTTCATCATGTTGTTTTTATTCTCCCTTACCGATTGAGTGACTTTGTGATTGTCACGTGTTCAACAGGATAATCTGTTTGAGTGGCACTTCTCCGTTCGAGGACCTCCAGACTCTGATTTTGATGGTGGAGTTTATCACGGGCGGATTGTGCTGCCCCCTGAATACCCCATGAAGCCCCCCAGCATCATTCTGCTCACTGTAAGACAAGTTCTGTACTGCTTAAACCAGTTCAGCTTCTAATGCCTCCACTCACATCCTACACTCGATAAGGATAATTAGACCGTATTTTGACGAGTGTGTTCTTGTGCTGGTACCTTGGTTGGTTCAGGCCTGTCGTTGACAGCTGACTCCTGAAGCTTTTCGTGCTATTCATATTCTGTGCAGCGGTCAGTTCACAGCAGTGACAGAAATGAACTTGCGATATTTGCCACCCTAATTTATTTTTTCCGTCAAATTCTTACATTTAATCATTAAATTCAGTTAGAATAATAAGACACTTTAGGGCCATTAACAGTCAAGTCAGCAAAAATCTAGTTTTGAACTGCAGGTGTGCCACAGAAGCAATTAGATGAAATATGAAATGATTGTTTTCTAAATAAAATGATACTTTAAATATGAAACTAAAACCGTCAGTAGGTGTCAGAAAGTCACTGTCTTTGATGAGTGAGTCATTCATTTAACCAATTCCTTCAAAAAGCTAATTCATTCAGAAATGAAGAAAGTGAAACCCCACTGTGTGTTGCTTTGGAGACACACAATGGTTATGATGTGGCTTTGTTTGAAACTATTTTCTTTGGGGAAAAAAACAGAAAATATTGTGTTTAAGATGTAACTCGCAATATTAACTTGTTTAATAAACTGCTGTATAAAATCATTATCAAATTTGCAATCATGCAGGTATTTGGGAAAAAACAAGCATGCTATAGAAGACACATTCATACGGGGTATTTTTGCCCCCATATTTTAAATTTTGCAGTCATTCTAACTGCATTTTACTAGACCACATCACACAGTGCTTTTGTTTGCTTTTTGGCAAAGTGAGTAATATGCTCAATAATGTCAGCTTACACTTCTTTAAAACAACAATTACAAAATTATCGTAGACATTATATATCGCACACCCCACTCCAGAATGTTATACTCCTTCACAGATCTTACCTAGGACTAAGTAAGTAAAAACTACTGGAACCAGATGATTTACACAAGGAATAGTTTCATTAACGATACTTGAACGCCTGCTAAATTGCCATGTTTTTTCAATGCTGATGAATCTACAGCACCTTTGAATACCTGAATAACTGTATACCACCATGTAGTACAATGACAGTAAATAGTAGGGATGTCACAGTGAGGAAAATTTTTATATAAACTTGTGACAAAACCAGTATTACCGGTAACACCAGGGGTGGTCGGAGCTTTGCACTCTTTCGCTTTCAAATTTGTGATGTTGGTGTCACATTGTGTTTTATCTTCTTTACACCTTTCATTTTCTAAGACTAAAACCAGAGAAGGTTTCAGAAAGTTTTTGTTTAAGAAGCGATCGTTTAAAATCAAAATATGGCCAACCAGGCGCTTTTACATTTCACTTGGAAACCCAATCCTCCGTCATTGTCTCGTCAGTATTCGAGCCTAACTCTCTTCACGTGAAAAGTGAATTCTGACTCCTGCTGCGGCTCTGCAGCTCGTGCTGTATGGAGCAGAGCAGACGCTTTCAGTTTACAATTGTCAACAGAACTAAACAGTTTTTAGTTCTGTAAAAAAGCAAATGACAGTGGGGGTGGTACCACAGTGGGGAAGGAATGTATTTGGTGTACGGCTTAACACCGGGTAATACCAGTAACACAGACTACAGCAGCAAGCCTAGTAAATAGACAGCACACCTTTCTATTGTGACCAGTGTGGTGTGATTAGTGTGAGTTGAGACTGTTATGAGTTGATTCATTTAAACAAAGCTTAAATGAAACTTAAAGGAATAGTTCACCCAAAAATAGCTTCTTCTTTTTTTTTCCATACTATGGAAGTCAATAACTTCCGTCGACTATTTGTTTACCAACATTCTTGAGGATCTCTTCCTTTGTGTTTAACAGAAGAAAGAAATTAATAAAGGTTTGGAACAACATGATGGTGAGTAAATGATGAAAGAATTATTATTTTTTTTGGCTAAACTATCCCTTTAACCTTCCATTTCCATTGTTTCCAGCACAATTCGACGTTTCTTTTCGAAGTAAACAAACCAAAAATTCATGATTGTCCACCCTGCACAAAACTTTTTTTTCCCAATTAAATGCTCTCTAGAATGAAAATGTCCCTTCCCTTGATACCACCTGCACCTGCAATCATGATTCATATGAACTAAAGCCTGTTGGCTATTAAAAGTCCTTTGATATGTCCCTCCCTAACTGCTTGTTTCAGTAAGTAATACGTAAGCTATCCAGTTTTATGTAGTCATTAGGGCTTGTGACTTAAATTACTGATCTAAAACAAAGTGTATCTTTGTAACATTCACATTCAGTAATAAATGTTCTTAAAAAACAAAAATAGCTTTGTTTTGTATATAGTTACGAAAAATTATTGGGGGTTCATCAAGTTAATAGTTCTTTTGAAATCCTAATGGAATCTTTTACAACATCCCTCATTTCTCTTTTTAGCTTTCTGTCTATCGTCCCCTTTTGACTATGTTTCACTTTATTTGAATTTTAAATGAGTTGGTGGTCATTTGTTTACATTTGGTTTATGTTGCTCTTTACGCAAAAGTAACATTGGATTAGAGCAGTCCTTTTATTTATTTTTCTTTGTTTATTTATTTGGCAATTTTAATTAAGATGTCTGCTGAGTCTACAGAAATGTATTTTCATCATTCATAAGTATAAACTAAGTTTAAAAGACCTTTGTGTTGAAGCAGCAAATCGGAAATCTTAACTGTTAATGTGTGGAAATAACTTACTGCCTTAAAGGAATAGTCCTGGATATAAAAATTTGTTGACTATTTACTTGCCCTCAGGCCATGAAAGATGTAGATGAGTTTTTTCTTCTTCGGAACACATTTGTAGAAATGTAGCGTTCCATCACTTGCTCACCAATGGATCCTCTGCAGTGAATGGGTGCCGTCAGAATGTCAGCTGATAAAAACAACACAATAATCCACAATCCACACAACTCCAGCCCATGTTTATATTATTTAGCCAGTCTGCTAACTCATTCTCATACTCAATGGCTTGTGTATGCAGAGCATTCGCAGCCTATATGGAAGGAACGCCAACTGCTTTTCACTCAAACAGAAGCACCACAATTAAATTGTGTTGTCTGTTTGACTACTACTGAACTAACCCCCACCAGCTTGTACCGTACAAATGTAAACACCCCCTCGGAAAAACCTTAGTGTCTGGTGGACTTGCCCCTAACCAGTCTTTTTGTACAAGGGTCTTATATCAGTTTTAGTTTGCTTTATGGTGTATAAGTAGGATTTATTTAGCTTAAACTGCGTCACTCAAAATATTATGTCAATTACCTTTAAAGGTTATTAACAACACAACATAATTGTAAATCTGCATTTACCAGTACATGCTTGCAGCTTCCGCCACTCAGAGCATTAATTATTCAGCAACTTTGATTTAATAGAATACGCTGAAAGTCAAAAAACAGACCTTTTCAATCCAACTTTATTCAAAAATATGAAAGCTAAACACTTTCTTTTGCAATTCTGTTTGCACTGTAAAACATTTTTATAGATTCAGTTTTTGTTTCTTTTGCAAACTTTTGTTTTCATTTTAGTTAATTGAAATAAAAACTTTGTTAACTATAATAACCTTGGTTTAGGCAAACCACTGACTAGTTGCTATTGACAGTATGTAGTTTTGCAGATCCTTATATTAGGTGATGATTTTTGGGAAGAGGTTCTGAGTGATGGTTTTTCTGTCATGGCTTATAAGTGTCCTTGTCATCTGCTGACTTCCTCTTCCCCTAATCTTTTTTCTGTTGTCCCTCTCTGTTTCTCTTTTAATTAATACAAAACTTGCTCTCATCTTCAGCCCAATGGAAGGTTTGAAGTTGGGAAGAAGATCTGTCTGAGCATTTCCGGTCATCATCCAGAGACATGGCAGCCGTCATGGAGTAGTGGGTATCTCCGTAAATTTATACCACCAGCCAAACCAAACGTTTATACCACCTCTGAAAAACTCTGAATATTGGATTTTTTTTAAACATTGATTTATTATTGATTTAATATAGTCTTTATTTTCTGAATACGAAATATAATATAATATGACCCAGACACGTTCTCAACATGAAATGAATCCACTTGCTACCGTGTGTGACACACATATATTACACAGTTGTATACAGAGGGTTACAGTGCATCTTGTCCAGTGTTGATTCTGTACCTTCCTCTGTTATCCAGCATTAAGCTGTGTGTTTCTCTCTGTGTTTTTGTGTCAGTTCGGACAGCCTTGATAGCGATTATTGGATTCATGCCAACTAAAGGGGAAGGAGCCATAGGATCTCTGGATTACACTCCTGAGGAGAGAAGAGCTCTCGCTAAAAAGTATGATGTCCATCCTTTACCTCTTTACCTACCTCTTTTTTTATTAACCAGCAAACAATGCATTTAGGGAACAGAATGTTATTTTAACAACATAAACTATTAAACACACATCTAAAACAACAACTCTTAATCTATAACTAGCTAATTGAGGCATAATGATATTGGAATATAGCAAGACCCCAAAGGTAGGTAAATAATGTTAAGCTGTTATCAGCACCAAGTTTATGAAACAGAAGCTTATTTTTATGACAAAAATATATACACAGGAAAGTTATTTATTATATAGTCACAGAAGACAAAAACATGAATCAAAAACTAGCTAAGTAAAATATTATAATATATTATGATGTCAAGGCTATTTACGGATGTTTAATCAAACATGAACTTCCCTAAAACAAGAAGATACCCTACCTAGGCTATGCTAATTAACTAGTCAGCAGGCCCCCTCCCACCCCAGGTTCAATTTGTCCCCCCTCCACCTCCGAAATGCGATCGATTTTAACCCTTTGATGCGCCGCGCTTTGGCTGGCGCTGTGCCAGAGAAAGACGCGCTCGGTGCTTTTCATATATCAAAGCTGTTTAGTGTTTTCAACCGCTTTATTTCATTTATTTTAAGATTTCAGACATTTAAATAGACATTTCAAATAAGTACTAGCAAAAAAAGGAAATTTATAGTTTGTTAAATACACACTGATTTCTATGGGAAGCGTCATTAATAAACCTTTCAATTAAAATTTTCCGACTTTGTTTTATTTCTATCAAATACACATTGTGTAGGTAACCATAAAGTTTACTCCGTTTTCTTCCAGTTCACTGGCCACTTTCATGTATTTCAGGAGAAATTCGACAGATCCACACGACAGCGTCCAGCGCGCATTATAGATCAACTATCATGGTCATTAAGGTTGTTTAAACGACAAAACAAATTAATTTACACATATGCAATATGCATATGAACTTTAAATATTTTACATACTTTTGAGAATCCAGCGTTTCATTGATCCTGATGAGTGCTCATCGTCACAGTTGTAAACACGATGGCTTTCCTCTTTCGTGAGGGGGTTTGGCGTCACAGCATCTTTGTTTCCAGGCGGAACGTTAAAGAACGCGACACACACGTCTCCCGGAAATCCTGTATAATTCAACCAATCCGATGACGACTTCGAAACTCCTCAAGTGTTTCCACTTTTGTGTGCCATATGCGTCAAGACGTTCAGCCAACGGTCCGTGGGCATGACATCTGAGGCTGAGACTAAAGCGTCAGTGTCTGGTGAAATAACAGTATATAAATCACACTACCAGGAGGGGTCACCTCTCATCTCCACAAATCGCGTGAATGAATGCAAGTGGAGTCGGTCTACCGCAAGGGTTGTCGCTCTTCAACTGTCAGGCCAGTGCGAGCCAGGCGGGGCCAATGCTGCGCTTCCACTGTCGGACCACCGTTACTCTAAAAGCCGAGAAGCAGGGGTTGTCGCTTTTCCACTGTCTGGCCAGTGCGAGCCAGGGCTAACAACGAGCCAATGCTGCGCTTCCACTGTCAGACCAGCGCTACTCTAAAAGCCCGCCCTTAACACACCTCTCTGAAGCAAAGAGCACACATCATCATTTCACCAGTGAGGGGATAAATAAATGAAAACTATTGCAAAACGGACTTGACAGAAGTGGATGTTTCGTCCTTATAAAGATTTCAAAAGTCTCCAGCATTGATATTTTACAAATGATTTATGATTAAAAAAGTTACAGTGACAGTAATTTCAGAAGTAATGTCAGAAGTGCGCGTCAGTGATGCTAAATCCAACTAATATGTTTAATTATTTTACATAAAATGAGAAAACATACTTGTTCAGTCACGGCTGCTCCATTTATTTGTAATCACAAAAATGCATAAAACAACTCAGTCCAGGAGTACCGGCACTTCTTTTTTCCACTTCAAGCACTGCACACACACAAAGACAGAACACCATTGGCGTAACACACACAACACAAAAATAATGCAATAATAATTATGAACTAAATAACAGAAAATCTATAAAAAAAAAAACAGTGTACATTAGTGATAACAAAAATGAGAAGAAAAAATGATGTCACACAGATGTCCTTTTACAGTTTTCACCATAAATTATATGGTAATTCATAGTTTTTACCATGTAAAATAAATGGAACATTAATTCATAATAAAATTAAATATAAAGTCATGTTAAACCATTCACAGTTTTTCACCATATATGGTAAGGTAACTTACAGTTAACCAATTAACTGGTTTTTACTAGGGATGGGTACCGAGAACCGGTATTTTTTTGGACCGGTACGTAATTGTGTCGATACCGGAATACCCATAAGCTTCAGGACAAACGATACTGTTATCGATACTTGCGTTGTTTTATCTCCGTTTACTTCAATGTTAACGATGAATTAGAAGCTGCTGCTTGTCATTTTTCTTCACTGAATGATGTGGCCGAGGTCTGCTCGACGTGCGTGTGATATCCATGCGCATGTGTGGTCTGTGTTTGCGTGCAACCAGTCATCGCGGCAAGAGTGAAACGTTCGAAAGTGTGGGCTCACGTTACAAAACTAGGTGACACCAGTGTCAGATGCAATATATGCAGTACTGTAATAGTGAACGAAGGAGGCAACACTAGAAATATAATGAAACATTTACTAACAAAACACATCTACCTCAAGCAATGCGCTGTATTAGGCTATGTCTCGCGGCTACAGCTCCAACTGCAAATCGCGAGACACATTCACATCAAATGTTGATTCGGTAGAGTTACACTCATGAGACACTGCACTTATTCGCAATCACAAAAGTACATTATTTCAGCGTGCTTTAAAGCCTTGCCGGTTCAACGTTTCAGTTGCATGCTGTTTTAACATGTGCTTATATTCAGAGCGTGTACACCCGAAGCGTCCGTACGGGCCGGTCAAACAGCACCTGATTACTTCGTTATCTTAGTTATCGTCTGATTGCGCTAATACTGTCAAAAACACACAAGATTTACATATAAACACAGTTGGTTATGTCTAAAGTGAAAGTAAACAATTGAGAAAAGAAAAGATGCATGACTGTTTATTATATGCATTAGATGTCTTAAAGTGACAGCAGACGAACGGTGCTTTTCCACTGCGTGGTACGGCTCGGCACGGGTTGTAAAGTCATGTTAAACCATTCACAGTTTTTCACCATATATGGTAAGGTAACTTACAGTTAACCAATTAACTGGTTTTTACTAGGGATGGGTACCGAGAACCGGTATTTTTTTGGACCGGTACGTAATTGTGTCGATACCGGAATACCCATAAGCTTCAGGACAAACGATACTGTTATCGATACTTGCGTTGTTTTATCTCCGTTTACTTCAATGTTAACGATGAATTAGAAGCTGCTGCTTGTCATTTTTCTTCACTGAATGATGTGGCCGAGGTCTGCTCGACGTGCGTGTGATATCCATGCGCATGTGTGGTCTGTGTTTGCGTGCAACCAGTCATCGCGGCAAGAGTGAAACGTTCGAAAGTGTGGGCTCACGTTACAAAACTAGGTGACACCAGTGTCAGATGCAATATATGCAGTACTGTAATAGTGAACGAAGGAGGCAACACTAGAAATATAATGAAACATTTACTAACAAAACACATCTACCTCAAGCAATGCGCTGTATTAGGCTATGTCTCGCGGCTACAGCTCCAACTGCAAATCGCGAGACACATTCACATCAAATGTTGATTCGGTAGAGTTACACTCATGAGACACTGCACTTATTCGCAATCACAAAAGTACATTATTTCCGCGTGCTTTAAAGCCTTGCCGGTTAAACGTTTAATTTCCGTGCTTTTTTAACATGTGCTTATGGTGCGTTCAAGTCATGTCGGATAGATCGTATTTATGCACATGAACGCCACCACAAAGTCGTTATTATGAGTGGGAAACTCGAAATGTTCTTTAAGCCCCGAGTTTCAGAGTTGGGGGTGTTTCAATGAGAAACATGGCGGAATCGATGGATGCAACGTCTGTAGTTGACGGTTCATTTTTGTTTAAATTTATAGTTTAGTTGTCCTATAAACTTAAATTGGTCATGTTCTTGTTACGCAGCTGAAATCCAAGTAAAAAAATGCAGACCCTGTTGTATTTTCTTGTAATTTATTAAAAGAAGGTACACCGCCGTCTTGTGCCGACTAAACTGACTGAATTACGACTTGTCAACTCGTAAGTACGAACGTCCCAGGAGGACTTGAACGCAGCATTATATTCAGAGCGCGTACACCAGAAGCGTCCGTACAGGCCGGTCAAACAGCACCTGATTACTTGGTTATCTTAGTTATCGTCTGATTGCGCTAATACTGTCAAAAACACACAAGGTTTACATATAAATACAGTTAATCATGTCTAAACTGAAAGTAAACAGTTGAGAGAAAAACAGATGTGTGCAGCTCTTAAAGCAACTGTACTAAACATGCTGCCGCTTGTCATTAAAGGTATAGTTCACCCAAAAATTTAAATTGTCATGATTTACTCAGTCATGTTGTACCAAACATGTATTTATTTCTATTTATTCTTGTGCTGAACACAAAAGAAGATATTTTGAAGAATGTGGGTAACCAAACAGTTGCTGGTCCCCACTGACTTTAATAGTAGGAAAAAAAAAATGAAAGTCACTGGAGACCAGCAACTGTTTAGTTTCCCACATTCTTCAAAATTACTTTTTATGTTCAACAGAAGAAAGAAACTCATTCAGGTTTAAAACAACTTGAGAGTGAGTAAATGATGACACAATTTTCATTTTTGGGTGAACTATTCCTTTAATGTTAATAAAATAAAACACAAAGAGGAAAATAACTCACTGCTCTTGACTGAAGAACTTTAATACGCTAAATATGCTAAAGTTCAGAAGTAATAAAATAACTTGAAATTTTCATCAACTTTTCACTTCATATCTTTTTGCACCAAAAAGTATCGATATCGGTATCTTTTCTAGTTTTTACTGTAGTATTTTTTGTGTTTTTTTCTGTAAATATAGCAATTTATTACAATCTGTTGTTATATAGGTGCATATAAATAAAAGTCATGTAAATATCATCTTCATTTAGTGAAAAACGTAGACAACAATGACTTTTTTACTGAAGGTTTTTACTATATTAGTTGCGTTGAACTTTTTTATTTATTTAATTTTTATAAATAGATGGTATAAGTATATAATGTAGTATGTTATTTTCATCAGTGTGTGTGTGAGCGTTGTGATGGACTGGCCATCCACCCAGGGTGTTCTCCTGCTTTCTGCCTGAGACACTGGGATAGAATACATAGGGCAAGTAGTTTAGAGAATGGATGAATGAGTGAATGTACATGTACAGGATATTTTTGCTGTTTTGAGTTTAGATGCAGCACCAGTGCTTGTACGCAGTAACGGCACTTCAATATTTTAGTCTTTAGCGTACTGGAACTTTTTTGTGCGTACCGGCACTTCTGACATGTTGCTGGTACTCGGAGTCAAAGCGTCAGTGTCTGGGTGATTAGAAATGACACTATATAAATCACACTACAAGGAGGGGTCACCTCTCATCTCGACAAATCACATGAATGAATGAAAGCGGAGTCGGTCTACCGCAGGGGTTTTCAATGTGTGTGGCTCGAGAGCAGGTCAGGGGAGGCATGCAGAATAGTAGAATAATAATTAATTAGCCTACTGATTACTAATTTGAATCAGTACATTATAACGAAAAAAACAATACCTTAACAATGAAAAGAAGCAGGTTTTGCGATCACATAATTTTAAATAAACTCCTGGAAAGTTCAAAACAGCGCTAATGCAGAGAATAGTGACTAGTGACATCCAGATGTCAGTAAATTATTCTTTTCAGCGTGTATTTGGCTTAAAAGCAAGAGTGTTTCATAATGGATGCTGGCTGAAGGTGTTTTAGATAATGCGGTGGTCAGTGGTTTATTGATTCTGGATGGATCCATAAAGTAGTACAGTTGGGTAAAAGCAGGAGCTTTAGTGGTCTTTGGCATCTCGGGGGGTTACCGGCGGCACTTCTTTTTTTTTTTTTTCAACTTCAAGTACGTGCAGCACTATAGTGAAACAACCACAAACTGCCCTAGAGACTTAAAAGTCATTATCAAATCCATCTGAAGCCTCATTTTAGCATGTGTGGACATGCTGTGTCCTTTCAAAAGACAAGAATACATCTGAAGACAGAAGACGAGTGACAGATAGTTGTTCTCAGTGCCGTATCTCCAATCAACACATGCTGATTAAACGTCCACCCCATCACACATACCAGCACATGACAAACACTCAGTGACCGCAGACCTCTGAGACTCATGTTTAGACCTCACTGCCATCAAACCATCGGCTATGTTCTCATCTACACTACCGGTCAAAAGTGTGGAATCATTATGATTTTTTTATACTATTGAAAGGAGGCTCTTATGCTCACCAAGACTGAGTTTATTTCCAAAAATACAACTGTTTTCTATGTGAATATATTTTCAAATGTAATTTAGTCCTATGATCAAAGCTGAATTTTAGCATCATTATTCCAGTCTTCAGTGTCACATGATCTTCAGAAATCATTCTAATATGCTGATCTGCTGCTGGAAGTGAGAAGCAACACAGCTCTGCCAGCGCAGCAGAGAGACAGATTAGAAATGTGATTTACGTTAAGAATTTTAGGTTTCTTTTCTGCTAGCTAGCTAACCTGTTGTGTTGGACTGTCCGAGGCATATCCAAATATTTCTCCATAAAGTGAGACATTTCATTACTATCACAAATAATGTTGAAAATCCACAGATTTAGAAATTCAACCAACTTGCTGTAGCTCCTGTTCCACACAGTTGTTTGTTATATGTTAAATACGTTCTGGCTGTGATTGTGTTGCATTTTCACTTTCTGTTTTTATATTGTACTGCAATGTGACAATTGCTGTAAATGTTGCATGTGGCCAGCCCATTGCAGGAAGCTCTAGTCCTGATATCTGTACATGAAGTTGATCTGTGTGTGTGCTGAGCAGACATACAGTGAACAGTTATAGTTGTTACTATGTGTATTTTAGCACAGCTAGAATGCTGTATTGATCAATCAGCATCTAGAACTGCAATTCATATAAGATCCTTACTTCCCATTAGCATACAGTAATGGGTGTGAAACCCTCTGCTATGTGGCTGTCATTAGTTAGTGAGGGGTTGTGACGGGCTGTTTGATGAGGATTCTTCTATTTCTGGAGATTGTTAGGGTTTTCTTCTGCATGTGTGTGTGTGTGTGTGTGTGGTTGCAGTAATGTGATTGTGTTGTAGGTCTCTTGATTTCTGCTGTGACGCGTGCGGCAGCTGCATGCGCTCCGCTCTGCTAGCGCTCTCTCCTGACAGTGACCCGCGACCTGTTGACCCTCAGGCACACAGACTGGCACAGCAGATCAACTTTAAGGTCAGACTCATTTATGATCAAAACATCAAATATATGTTTATAAAGATAATTAAGCCAAGACATCGTAGGTGAATAGGATAAAAATTAAAAACTAACAGATATTGCCATACTTCCCTTGTGTCTAATCATAAAATTATACATCAATATTTTTTCTGCTGACTTTTTTTTTGTTTGTTTTCTCGAGCATCAGTCCTGATCACAATGACTGAAAATGTTCATTTTCAGTATTTGAACCCTTTAAATTATTGTTCGTTTACATAATGCTGCACAAAAAAATCTGTTATTTTACTTCTACTAAATGCTCAGCTCTTTTTTCATTATTAGAGTCTTGGATAATTCAATGATTAGAAACAGCATTAATTTTTTGAAGCATTATTATTTTTCGTGCAGTGTCAAAAAAAAAAAAAAGAAAGAAAAAAAGAAAGAAAAAACAATTTACACACACACACATTTTTCAGTACACACATACAAACCACACACTGATATCCACTGATTAAAAAAAGTACCAAGGAATGCATATGATAAAATGGAATTGCAGTTTTAATGGGTTTCATTGGGGGACGTTTTTGTCCTGGGTGTACCTGTTTTTAGTGCCTAGTGTAAAGTGGATTTATAAAAGAAAATGAGGGTGAAATATTAAAATGTCAATAAATACACACTAAATACCTTTTTGCTAAATTTATGCTGTTTGCATTAACACAGTTAAAATGATCAATAAAACAAAAATGAAAAAGACAAAAATGTCTCTGAGAATGCACAGGGGTTAATAAAAAAAAAAAAAAAAAAAAAAAAAAAATATTTAAAGGTTATTCACGATTACATATTGCTGCCAAGGTATCTAGTCTTTACAGTGCTTTGTTATATGGAGCTGTTTGGTAGATCGCGATCTATCTAATTCGTTTGTCTACACTGTAATTTAAACGTGGCAGACTTTAATGGACAGTAAAAAAAAGGCAGAACACCGTATAACTTCAAACCGGCACCGTAACTTCATTTTCACGCACGGCTAAACAAAGGCAGGATGCCGTAACTCAATTTGAGCGTTCCAAACAAAGTGAAAGAGCCGTAACTGGTGTTATACGGTGTTCTACCTTGGTTTCTCCGGGACTTTTCGAAGTTACGGTTGAGACGACACATTATTTTCGGTTAATAAAAAAATAAATAAAATAAAATATATATATATATATAATTTTTTTCCCCCCAAAATGGTATGTTGTGAAATGATTCTTGTTCTGAAAAAGTATGTTTAAATATGCAAATTATGGTTAAATTAAATACATGCTCCTTTGCATAAATTTCCAGGGCAGAAATCTGAACATTGGATAAAGGCAGGTTCAAATATCTAGAAACAAAAATCACTATGTTTTTAGGAATAAAATATTGTATAAAATCAGGTGAATGCTACATAAACTCCTCTGTAAAATCTTCAGAATGTACAGTCAAACCAAAAATTAATTAGACACCAGATATAATTTTTGATATTTTTTTACTAGTGGGTGCAGGACACTGTAGTTCATTTATGTAAGTGAGGATAGCAAAATAAAGTAAACTGTGACAAATCATACCCAAAAATTCCTCATACAGTGGACTACCAGTAAAACTGATACAAATTTGGGACCAAAAATTATTCAGACAATTTGACCTGAGCATGTTATGCTTTAGTGTTATCTGACATTATCAAGCAGAATTTGTTCTGAGTGATTCATCTTCCAGTTCAGCTCTCTTCAATAGTGTCTGTGCAATCAGTCAAGCGTCCCCAACTAAGCAAGCCAAAGGAACCAAAACTCCATCGGTGACAGAAATGGAGAAAAATCCTTGGGAGAAACCAGGCTCAGTCGGGGGGCCAGTTCTCTTGAGCAGCTGTCTGTAGTGTCTTGCCTTAAGCCAGTATAGGACCATTAATAGTTTTGCACTCTGACCATTTTCATGACATTTAAGCACATGACTTTACTGAGAAAAATCTCGGTCATCAGGCTGATTCCAGCTCATCGGCTGCAGACAGTGGCAGTTCAGCAGCAGCAGCGGCAGCGACTTCCAGTAACAGTGAGAGCTCAGCTACAGCAGAGAGAGACACAGAAGACACGGCATCAGCTGAGCAGGTGCGACAAACACTCTCCGTGGTACCTTGCATCATTTCCTGTTCATTCTGTTCATCTGCTCTCAGCTTCGGTTTCTTTCTTCTGGTCTAGACTGAATCATCATCTGTGGCTCCTCAGACATCAAGCGAGGGTCCATCCGTTCCAGCGGCTCCGAGTCCACGTCAGCGACGCTCGCAGAACCAGATCCAGTCCCCGAGATACCCCGTGTTCACGGCATCCCCCGCTGCCCAGCTCCCTCCGCAGGACGCCGGTCACACGGGTTTGGCCGTTCTCATCGTTCTCCTCACACTCGCACTAGCTGCGCTCATTTTCCGCAGGATCTATTTGGCCCACGAGTATAAGTTTGATTACGAGCTATGAACTCCTCCTACAGCACTTGAAAAGCACCACTGTCGTTCTGCCCACATCCAGAGCCTGCTCACCCTCGGCCTCATAGGACAGGATTTATGTTTGTCCTTCCTGGACAGAGCTTTGTGTCTTCAGAAGGGAAAAAAGGGGGAAATATTTCTGATGTATTTGCAGAACAAAACCTGAAGGGGCAAATCTCAGTACGCTTGTCAAGAACATGTCAGGGTCTGATTTCACCCCAAAAAAAAAAAAAAAATGCAAATTTATATTTTACAAGAAGACGGTTAAGACTTTTTTTTTTGGGACCATTAAGATTTTTTTTCTCTTTTTTTGCATTGTATTGTTACTTTCGTGACAGTTATTCCACTCAAAAATATATATTCTTATTATTACTGTAATGTGTTCTTAATACTGTAATTATATATATATATATATACTATTTTAACTGTGAAGTATTTATGCATCATAATTGTACTGCCTTTTAATTTAAGAAGATTTAAATTTTTAAAAAAGCAGCCCTTCTGAACACATTACTGTAATGATATTGTTTTGCATTAAATAAGAATTCGGGGATAATGTTCCTGTTTTCTTTTTGCAAAATATAATTCATAAAATTAATTTTCACTTTGGGGTGAAATATGACCAAGACATGTTTTCAAGTGGTTTCCTCCAGATCCTGCAAATATATTGTTTATATACGATTTCCCAAATAATGAATTTCAAAAAAACTATTGTTACAAATACCAATGTACAAAATTTGGTCTTAGACCGAAACAAACTAAAAAAACTGAAGCATGTAGAAACTGCAGACTGCTTCTAATTTTGCAGTTAAACATTTACATACTTTAAAAATGCTATAATAATGTAGGCATGGTTGTAATATTTACTTATAAACAGTTAAAAAAAAAAAAACATGCACATAGAGAAATGGTGATGTCTGTGAATGAATGATCTGGTAATTTTCAGAAAACATCAAAGCAGTTACGACTATAATGTTTTTATTTTTTTCAATATATCTTAAAACTCTGGAATTTAAATATAGCAACATTATATACATGAATCACTGCTGTAGACAAAATCGATGTTGGCCCTATGTGGATAGACAATTAAAACATCATTTGTTTTAATTCCTAAGCAACAACCTGTAGTTTCTTTAGCCTAATGTTTAAATGGACAATTAATGCAATAAACCTGATTCAACCATAACTGTGTGCTCTTTTCACTTGTAGAGGAAGTACTGTGCAGCATTGAAGTAATAATATTAAACAAGTAATGCAACTTGTCCCTGCAGCATGTATGTTATCGATCTGAAGGGTACTCTAAATTGTGTGGCATGGTGTGCTGTTACATGTGTAACTTATCAGAGTGTTACCTGAACATGTGAAAAATAATTCCTATAGACTTACACTGAAGGGTGGACCAGCCATATATAGAGCATAGTAACATAGAGCAGCACTATGGCACAATAACTGAATGTAGTATTTTTATGTTTGTGCATTTATCCCAGTTAAATTAGTTTTGTGTAAAAGTGTGCTAAATAATTTATATATAATATCAACATATAAGGCATTTAATATGGGGCATTGGGATTGGTGTCTTCTACTTACTTAATGTCTACTAATTAAATTGCAGTTTTGTCTATCTGTCCTTTGTAATCTTTAAGCAATCATCCCTGGAAGGCTGAATTTATTTAGAGTACTGCAAGATACAACCGACAACCTTTCAACACTGACTTCAGCGCTGCTGTTTGCCAGAATGAACCTACATGTCATATGATCACTCTGAGACGTTATGATGCATTGTGTGATACGACCTTTGGTTTCCATTTGCGAAATAGCACATAATGGAGTGTCTCTAGGATCAGTGGTGTCACGTTCACCCAGCATGCACTAGAAGTTGAACACTCCTGCTGATTTTTATGCCACTTTCCACTTTTGAGAATAACAGTGAAGCCATCAAAACTATAGACTAACACAAATTGTAGTGTGGGGACTATATTCTGATCAAAAAGTGTAAAACAAAAGATTGTCTAGATTGCAGATCTGTTCACTTTGGATATATTATTGACTCAACAGACTTCATGATGCATCTTGGGATGCTTTACTGAAACACTACTGGAGGTACAAGTGTGCTGGCTGCTTTTCCTTCAATATCCCCTACAACATGTCCATTTTGAAATTAAAAGTGATGTTTTGTTAGAAAATTCATTTATATTAGAATTTCCATTAGTCTACAAACCAGTTAGAAGCATTTAAGCATAAGCCTTTAGATTGCAATGATTCATGATCACATAGGCTAATGTAACTTCAAAATTACAAAACCTGGTAGCCAGTCATTTAGAACTTCTTCCAGTAGTCTAACAAACAAACTCGACATTGCTTGGCTCTTTTTTGGTTTATGGTGCGTTTCTGAAATGAATGACAAAAATGTCCGGTGAAGAGCCTCATCGTGCGTTCTGTCTGCGCTTTTTAAAGGGGTCGTATGATGCTATTTTAAAGATCATTATTTTGTGTATTTGGTGTAACAGAATATGTTGACATGCTTTTACACCTTTTTAAGACGATGTGTCGAGTTAAATTAGTTCATATTTTAAAACGGGTGCGTCTCGACACCCCCTCGTGTTCTTCTCCACTCCGCAGCTCCGCGCGACGCGCGTCTGTAAGAACGGAGCGCTGAAATGAATCGCGGCGTGCGGGACCAATCAGAGCGCGCGTTGAGCTCCAGCGTTCAGCGCACTGCAGCAGAACTAACTTCATCCCGAATGAACGCTGACTGGAAGACGAGATGATTGTCTAGTCTTTCCTTCGCGATGTCTCACTTTATGAAGGCTGTTTTTCTGCTGCTGTGCGCTAGTATAAGCGGTCAGTGCGGGAAGATGAAGCACAACCTCAGGAGAACATCTGTACAACATAACAAACACGGAACGTAAGTGTCACACGCTTTCAACTTGTTATTTCAGTTTTAACAGACGGTGGGAAACTACGTGCGCGAACAACAATGAGATGAAGCCATGTCAAACTATTAGCAGCTACCCGGTTTTTTTTTTTTTTTTTTTTTTTTTCATAACAAACACGGAACGTAAGTGTCACACGCTTTCAACTTGTTATTTCAGTTTTAACAGAAGGTGGGAAACTACGTGCGCGAACAAAAATGAGATGAAGCCATGTCAAACTATTAGCAGCTACCCGTTTTTTTTTTGTTTTTTTTGTTGTTTTTGTAATTATAAAAATGCTTGTGGTTTTGTAGCCTAAGTTGTGATTGATTTTCATAAATGTCTAATTACTGTCTGTGATGGCAAAATAATGGTATTTTTCACGTTCCTTTTATATTTTGCTTTTTCATAAATCTAATTCTGTATCATAATTGTTTTATAGTTTAAATTCTGCTCAGAAAACTACCAAAATAGGCAGTTTAGTAGGCAGTTAGGGTTTAAAAGGTTCTCATTGTGAAAACTGAATTTTGACAACTAAAAGACAGTTAAACTGTAATTGTAAAACATTTAAGGTTATGTACAGTTCAACTGTCATTCTTGTTTTTTTTTGCGCAGTCAAGATTACAAAAGTTAAAAAGTAACTTTCAAAACTGAACCTGAGTAATTCACTAACAGTGTGGAAACAAAAATCTGATTGACTGTTCACATTTCAGGAACAAATATTTTATAGAAAAGAATGGATTGAATGTCAATACCATGTGTTGTTTGAGAATTGCTTCTAAAAAAAAAAAACTAAATCATAATATTTCTATTAATAATATTTCTAATAATAAAGTGCTTTTATTATTTTATGTGTTGTTTGAGAATTGCTTCTAAAAAAAAAAACGAAATCATAATATTTCTATTAATAATATTTCTAATAATAAAGTGCTTTTATTATTTATTTGAAATACTAAATTTGAGTTAAAACTGTTAATATATACTAGTGTGCATATAATAATACTAAACATTTACCACAATTAAACCTGAAGATTGATTGGTGAATAATAGTTGTGCTCATGAGACGTCTGTATTTGTATGAGATTGCATTGACATGCTGAGATGTTCTTTTGCAGTCCACTTTTTAAGAAGATGCTGGATCAAACTAAGACACATCAGGTGAGATCAGACCATCTGCTGCGTGTCGATGATCATGACTTCACTATGAGACCAGCATTTGCAGGTAAAATCTGTGTGTGTTTGTGTTAGTGGCATGAAAATTGTTTTGACATATATTGTCAACTCGTACTGATTGTAGACTATTTCTTATGCATTTTTTTCTATTGTATGAGACCATCGAATTTCTGAACTGTGCTGATACAATTAATATTAGTAAATTAATACTCTCCTTTTACTTTGGAGCCTACAATACAATATCTCTACAGCTCAAAAAGTGATTATTTGCAAGAAGGTGCTGTGAATATTTCCGAATATGTTCTAGCTTCTCACACTTTTCATCTTTCGCACATGTGCTCCAGGTCATTTGCATTATTTATGTCATATTTATGCTGCACAGCTTTCAAATAATGTACGTTTTATGAACAGATGTAAACTGATTCACTTGTTCTATTAGTTCATCATCATCATCATCATTCATTCTTTCTATTTTAGCAAAATACCATGCTGAAAGTTACGAAACATGGCTCATATTTTGCCCCAAAATCACTTAAAGTAAACAAAGCGTTAGGAATTTTTGCATTGTGAAGCGACGAGAATACTTCTTGTGCGCAAAAACAAAACAAAATAACGACTTTATTCAACAACCTCTTCTCTTCTGTGTCTTTCTCATACGTTGTTTACGTCCAGTGCTTCCAGGTTCTACGTCCGAACGCCGGCTCATTATTGGACGGCTCCTGCATCAGCATCACAGGCATGCGTCGCGCTGCTCACATGTGCAGCTTTGGCCAATAATGAGCCGGCGTTGGGACGTAGAACACGGAAGCCTTCACTGTGCTTACTGCGTTAACTGCGTAAGGATAATGACGGGGAAGAGAAGAGATTGCTGAATAAAGTTATTATTTTTGTTTTGTTTTTGCACACAAAAAGTATTCTCGTCGCTTCATAAAATTATTGTAGAACCACTGTAGTCACGTCGACTGTTTTAACGACGTCTTTACCTTTATGGATCTTGAGAGTTTGGGTGGCATGCTGTCAATGGAGGCCTCTCTGAGCCATCGGATTTGATCAAAAATATCTTAATTTGTGTTCTGAAGATGAACGAAGGTCTTAGGGGTGTGGAACCACATGAGGGTGAGTAACTAATGACAGAATTCTCAGTTTTGGGT